TCATGGGGAGATGCACAGATGTTTTTCCTTTTGTAGTCTGTGAGGGCCTGTATACCTTGCCACATGCGCCGTGGGTCATTAGTGTTCCTCTAATTCTTGTTTGAGTGTGTTTTTTGCATGTTTAGTACCATTCTTTAGATTGATCCTGGCTGACTTTTAGTTCTGATTTGTTGCCCAATTTTGAATGCTGCATCCCTTACTTTGATTAGGATGCGAACCTCACTGTTCATCCATGGTTTCTGGTTAGGAAAAGTTCTGATTTCTTTTGTGAGCGTAATATCAGTACATTTCCTGATTTAGCTAGTGACTGATGATGCATATTGCTGTATGTCAGTGTGTGATCTCCTCGTCTGTGTGTGTGTATATATCCTGTTATGTTCTGACCTTGTGCCCGGGGTATAGTCCTGGATATGGTGAATAGATGAACAAAAGCTAAAGAATGTTACTACGTGTAATGGGATACATTTTAATAGGAGCCTGTCCTACATTAAAAAGCAGCATCATGTCAAGCATTCAGTCTGTCATTCTGTTGTATCATAAGAAATCTCCCCCCCCCAAAAAAAAAAACAAACAAAAATCAGTGCCCAGAGGATTCTTTGCTGTTTGCAGGGAATTAAAGCTTATAGGAGCTTGGGAAGGCATGGAGGCATTGAGGTTCACAAATCTCCTAGGTCTTTGTCGTATAATTTAATTTCTGAGATTCTGACATTTCATTTTGAAATCAATGTAATAAAATGGTTGAAACCAGCCTTTCCCGTGATTCAGTCCCTGTGACGGTTTCTCAGTGCAGGCCTCCCACAGCAAGTCCCTGCTCTTTAATTCTCATCGCTTTACAGCCTTGAGGGGCTGTGCTCTAGCAATTGTTGTGTGTCCCTTAGCAATTTAGGGCACAACAGTAGGCAGTAGGTTTAAAGTATTCAAGGGTACCTATAGCTGCCATCCCACAGTTTATTCCTTTTGACTTCTATACAACAGGAGAGTGATAGTTCTCCTGTATGCTCAAGCTGCACCAGATAATTTGTTTAAGTGGGCGTCAATGTGGGCGCTGGAAAATAAAATCCCTGAAGCTTAAAACCAACATGTCATATAGCTTCCTCATCTTCTGCCAGTGTTCTAAAATTCCTTGCTTGGTTGGTTGTGTGCAGCATATTAATTCATTTATTTTGACTTCTTCAATGAAAGTCTAGGTTTTCTTTGGCCTTTCTGTCATTTTGAGCAATCTGCAAAGCTACTTAGTCAAAACAAACACATACACAAAAGAATCCAGACAATAAGTTATTTATGCTATGTGCATGTTAATGCTAGGCAGTGGAGTGAATAAATGTTGTAAAGTATAACATTTTGCAGTTTTGTTTTGCTGCTTGTCCTGCTGTTGGTCTGCATGAGCCTGCTGAAAGCACAACCCTTCCATGTTAAACTGGCACAAAAGGACAGGCTATAATGATCAGACTGTTGCATTTATCTTTATACTCAAGGCACAAAAATACAAGTAAGATATGTGTTAAAGCTTGTCGATGTGCGTCCACACGCAAAAATATATGTGAGGATAATTTCCTTAATTATATCCTTGGTCAGAGGTGTTTTCCTTAGCATTCACCCTGCTTATGGAATAAAGGAAGGTGTGTAGTAATGCACCTTGACTATTCCCTTGGTGTGGGAATATTCATGCTTTCATGATTAATATTGTCTGTTATTTTACCCTGAGCCATATGCTATGGGTGTACTGGCTCAGCTTCATTTTCTCATTTGTTTTCCTTCATGAGTCGGTCGGGATTGAAGAGATTGTAGGCAGCATTAAGTGTGTCTCAGCAGAACGATGAACATCACTTTATTTAAATGTATGTGTTGCCTTTATGGCAAATCCCAAAGACTAAGCAAACTGCTATTAAAGTTAACTCAATCAAATTCCTTTTGAATTTATTACTAGATTGTGAGACAGCAGTACCTTGTTTAAAGGGATTCTGTAGTTTACTGGAAGGAAGAGTATTCCCAAAGGTCACTGCTGCCTATTGTTAATTACTGTAATTCCCTTATTTCTGTGTTTAACCATGTGTAAAGTACATGCTCCTCTGAGAACAATACATAAACCCAATGGGCATTTATTATTAATAATACCATATATCATGCATTTTTTTATTTGGCTGATGCCTCTATTTAAGAAAATTCAGTAATTGCAATTTACTGTAGCAGCAATTTTAAAAAATACATGATAATTAAATGTATCACAGTATGATCTTTATAGAATATAAAACTACCTATCAAATGTGAATATGACTAGGTTTTTACAAAACTCCTGGGTTTTAATTTTTTATACCATGTAAATGTTCATATATTTACACGTAAAGTTGCAGAGTGAAATTTGCTGTTTTAGGTTACTCTTGCTGTAAAGAATCTGGAATCTAGAAAATAACAGGAAGCTTACGTTTTACTTTTGTCATAGGCATGGTCACCCCACAGGCATTTGTAAAAGCAGAACACTGAAAAATAATTAAGGCAAGAAATTAAGGTTTTAATTAGTAAATTAGTAAATACATTAGAAGTTTTCAGAATTGTGAAATGCAATTGCTTTCTTTTTCTTCATGTATTATTCTTTTTTTAAAATAAACAATAATGGTTCAGACTGAATTCTTCAACATTTGTAACTACTGTACATGGATTCAGATTGACAGTTGAGTAATGGCATACTTTGTCATACTTGTGGTATGATCAATGTTAGTGAATCTTTATTTCCTTTACACTGAATCTGTGCCATCTAACATTTTATCCATGGCATCCAAAATATTTTTCATATGTTATTTTGGCACTCTATACCAACCTTCATTAGTTACACTTCAGAAAGAGAGGCCTCTAGTCTTTCTCTTATAGGGTCTTTTCCCAGTTTCCATATTTATTACCCAGTGGAGACTCAGTACTGAACCTGATCAACATGTTTGCTACACAATGCAATGGATTTCTGTGACAGTGCTCTAAGAGAGACTGCATAGTGACAGAATAACATCCATTAAATACATTGTTACCCTAATAATGATCAGTAATGCTAAAAGTGCATTTACATGCATTATGGAAATTTGTTTTGCACTTTTATGAGAGGTTCTTTCTGAAGAAGAGCCTAATGCTTCAAACTGAAGAGCTGATTGTTAGTTATTAGACATGTTTCTGCAATTTTAAAAAATACTTTTATGGGTTTGAAATTACTATCAATTGGTACTCAGTCCCCTAGTTTGAAATGTACTTACATTCCTCCTTTTAAAGGTGATATTTCATGACTTTAGATTCTTCATATTTATTACATCCTCCATCATGGGTATCCAGAGATCCCATTATAAGAAATTTAAAACTGGATTTTCTAGCCCATTTTGTTACAATTCTTATTGTGGTGAAAAACCGTTATAAACTGGGGGAAAGGTTAGAAATTCTTAAAAATGTACATTTGTCATACAAACTGCAAGAAAATTGGATCTTATTTTCATCTCAGTGGCTGCTATGAACAAGGACAGTTATCAAATACTGAATCTGAATGAATCTTCAGTATTATTTTCTTATTGTAAGTCTAGTAGGAGACCTTTGATAACTGCATTTAAGTCTACAATGTGGAACTTTTCAAAAGCTGTCTATTGTGGGGCAACCTATAAAAAAAGACATAAAAATAGTATAGTACAAGAGTACCTGCAAAAAAATTACTTATTTTGAGCAGCTAAAATAACGAAAGGTTGTAGTTGTTCTTGTGTTTGTCTCTCTTTCTCTGTATGTCAGTATCTGTGTTTCTCTATAGTTATTTTATTTTTAGTTTTTTTTCATTTATATTCTGTTCATGGTAAAAATATTTTTTCCATATTCTGTGTAATGAGATTACTTTTGTAATCATCTGTTATCATAACATTAGTGTATACAACAGCATGGTTTTTTATACTGAATACCTTTTATGTACAAAAATATTAGTTGGGTTTACTTGATAGGCACAGGATTTTTCAACATGTCATTAGAAATGACTTAAATACTTTCTGACATTTTGTCTACTGTGGGAAAAAAAAACAATCTAGTACATCCTCCAGGATGGTTTTTTATATTAATAGTCTGGCCAGAATTTAGGAGATTGAGATCCCCTGTAGTCACTGTTAAGGGTTTTTCTCAGGCTTCTGGTAAGAGCACATAGCCATGAGTCTTATATGATCTTGTGTTGTTGGAATTGAGCAATACAAATGGCTGTAAAGATGTCATTGTTTTTAGTTCAGCATCACAAAGGAAGAGTTGGCTTTGTACAGTATGGTTTTTGCATAGTGGAGTGGACTATATTTTCTGGTCATTTTTAGAGTTGCTATGATATTTTTAAATGAACATAATTTGATTTTATTAATAAATGCTTTTGATGTCTTGAGACTTCTGATGCTGCACCAGGGACAGTCATTTTACTTTCCCAAATCCTTCCAGGAAAAAAATCCAGAAAAAAAGACCATTGTCAAGGTCACAGAGCTCATCTCTGCGTGGTTCACACCATGTTACTTCAAGTGACAACCCAGGCTGATTGAAAAGCCTGTTCTGAAGTGTCCTCAAGGGGCAGGAGGTGGTTGAATAGGTGCACCACAAGTGTTTTTTCAGTCTAGTTGATTTAAATTTTGTTTTGTGGGGAGGTGAGGTTTGCAAAGTAAAACATACCTAAAATTAATGTAATAAATGCTGGAGAAAATGGACAGCTAAGGGATTTAAACAAAACATAACTGCAGCTCAAAGATTTGGATTGTGATGGAATCTTACTTAAGAGGAGGGAAGTGCAGTCATAACTTAGAAGACTTGAGTGGTCCCCAAAGCATTGTGGGACATTCTTACCTTACCTTCATGTCATCCTACAGTCACTTTTGAATAGATACTGTTCTATTAGATCTATGAATGTATATATACTGTTTCAAGATACTGTTTAAAGAAAAGCACATTTTAAGAATCTTAAATTTGTATATTGCTGTTGTAAAAAAATATCCTGGATTACTTTTCTCATTCTTTTGCAGCCTTGTACTCTATTATTTTGTTCTGCGTCTTCCTGTGGATCCCATTTGTCTACTTCTATTATGAAGAAAAAGATGATGACAACATCAACAAATGTTTGGTAGGTTCTGTGGAGATAAGGAGGTGGAATGTCAGAGGTGGTTAATGGCTTTAATCAGCACTGCAGCCTGTTATTGTGGCTCAGCTGAGCCCACCATAGCTGTATCAGCTTGAGTAGCTCACGGTGTAGAGGCTCCCTTGACCTGACACCTTTGTGAAGGTTCTTTTGTCTTTGTTGCTGTCAGGTGCCCACAGCAGCATGCTGCTGTGAACGCACACTGTCTGTAACCTGTGGATCTCCTTCACAGCTGCATCTGTTGAAAGATGTAGGATCCTGCCATGACAATCTGCTCAGCTATTTATACAAGGTGGAGCAACCTTTGCACAAGAATAGAAGTATCTGCTTTGATAAATTGCTATAATATAGTCCAGCGCAGTATGAATCTTCCATTGCTCCACACAGAAGCCTGTTTTGCATAATATACTAAACCTAGGTAAATGGCTGTGCTGTGTACTGATTTAACCTTTACACAGCATATGGATGAAACTAAAAACAAATATTTCAATTCAGAGTTTGCATGTAACTCTGTAAATGGGTATAATTAATTCTGTATTCTTAGAGGAAGAAGCTTCCATGCAGTATATGCAACCTCACAAGTATTACAAACAGATGAGCTTTCTCTGCCTTCTTGAGTATGTGCGAGTTTGAGTATTTATCTTGGAAATGCAGAAGTCATGGTTGTACATGTACTGTTTTAGTGAGGTTTGTCATGTCAAGCATTAAATAATGTTTAAACATTCAACAAAGCCATACATGTTGAAATGTTGTATGATGAAAATATTACTGTATTTACTATATATATAGTGTTTTATAATAAAGTAAAATAAATTAATTACATCTAGAATGTGCTGTGAAGTCTTAACTTAATGACTTCTATTGGTACCTCCAAATAGGATATTTTTCTATTCACAAAGAGGTTGAGAATAGTGGAATATATGGCAAAAATACATAATTGTATAATTAATAGGTTTATTCCATGCTGAAAAGAGAAGAAAGAAAACACATTGGTTTTGGTGAAGCCATCTGAAGAAGGCTCCACAGCTGAAATGTTGTTTTCTTTCTTCTCTTTTCAGCATGGAATAAACCTATTATTTGTTCCTGAGCAGCCTATGCATGCTGACACAGCTGCCCACCTGAGCTACATAATTGTATGTTGCTTTTGAGCTGACAAAAGCAGTTTATCTTAGTTCTATGAAGCATTAAAAAGGAATGAAAGCTAATTTTTATACATATCTGAATGCCTTTCTAAAATTGAAAGTCTTATACTCAGGTTTGCTTAAGACAGCAGTTGAACAAAAAGTCAGCTTTCCATCATCCAGGCTAGAGACTTAAATTTTAAATGTCTTGGTTAACTTTATTTTATTAAAGATTTTTATTTTTTTCGTTACAGCAAGTGAAGAATGCGCTTAAGTACACAGTTGGATTTGTCATTGTCTGCTCTGCCCTTCTTCTAATAGGGTGAGTGTTTGGTCTGAATGTGCCATCTTGCTCATGAAGAGAGCTTTAAAGTAAATCAAGGGTTTCCCTGTCTTCTTTTAGTTTATACAAATATTGCTAAACCCCCCACAAAAATGAGATCGGGACTGGATTCCTACTTTACAAAAAAGTTTTGTTGGGTAGAAACTGAATTTCTGCATTTTGCTTTGCACTGTTACATTTCTCCATAGTGAGTGGTGGAGTTAAGAATTTAGCATTGAAAGTTTGTTTTTCATGTTCATTGCCAAACAAGCAAAGTGGAAACTTATTTGAATAAAATTGAATAGTATCACATGTTTTTGGAGTCCTTGAATGTTAACTTTAGTCTTGTGTTTATGTTGAAGCTATGTCAGCACTGTTTAAATTAGGCAAAAAGGTATTATTTTCGCACTGAGGGTAGACGTACTTGCTAGGTGTCACTTTCAAAGTAGAACATTTGACATTGTAACACAGCATCTTACCAGCAGCAGACTTTGAGAAAACTGTCTCATGGTGCATTACCCGCTCTTCATTTAATTCAAAGCCAAGTTCCAGCAGATCTATGTCTCCCGTGGATTAAAAACAGGGCAGAGAAACGTTGCAGGCCTTTTTGCTCATAGCAGGCAGATTTTGCTGTGTCATGACAGGGCTGTATGATTATGTACTTTAAAGGAAACTTGATACTAAAATTTACAGTGATATGTGTCCAGGCCTTTAGATTAATATGATTTGACCTCTTGTAACAGTGTTCTATTTAACCCCTGGCTTACAGTGTTTGTTCTCAACTACGTTTGCTTGGTATAAACATAATTGATTTCTTTGTTCACTACAGACAGTAACATGCTTGCGGTTCAAGTCATAATTTAATGTGCTCTGAACCATTAAATAGAGCTCTTGTTGAAACACTGTGTTGAATCAAGAAGCCAATCCATGTGGCAGATTGTGTGGGCCCAGGTTTGAAAAGTTATTTTCTGTGGCAGAAGTAATTTCACTCCACTTTGCCATTTGAACTACCTTCTCTCATTTCATTTTGGGGAAAAAGGTTGTATTTTTTCTAAGTAGAGCCATTGAAGATTCATACATTTTGTTGAATCATTTTGTCGTAATGATGGTCTCAGGAACTGCTGATATCGATGCTTTTCTGTGTGTTTTTAAACTACTTCCTGAGATCCAAGGATTATGTTAAACAAATATATTTTAATCCTTTTGTGTCAATGGTTTACAAATTTAGAGAGCTGGTAGAAATACTGCTGCTACAAAAGTCTTGAAATATAAAAATACAAATACATGATTCTAGAACAAAGCCACTACATTTGGACTGCTTTCCAGTGATTGCAGTGTTTTTTCAAGGCCTAAACCAAATTGCTTTATCTACCAAGAATCATAGAACTAAATTTGTGTAGATCCATTCTGTTTTTAAATGCAAGGTGATAGATAGCAATTGAAATGGTGAGAAGACCCCTTTGCTAATTAATCATTTGGTCAATATACCAATCGCATTCATGAGGAACAAGTAAAATGGTACTATGGGAGTACACTGTAGATAAAGGGAAATTATTTAACTTTGTGATGAAGACCTTTAGTTTGGAAATAAAATGTGTTTTGATCCACGGAAAGTCTAAAGAGATAGCTGTCATACTGTACAGATTGGCAATTGAGAATTTTGTAACATTATGTGTGGAGAAGAGATACTATTGATATCTTTCAGATATGTGAATTAAAGCTTTAAGATTATTTGTATAGGTTCCCAGCTGTAAAATGGATTTCAAATTAATCTTATGTTCTGTTATCAAGTATTAATAAATTGAATTGTAACTGTAAATGAAAATGCCCTAGAATTAAGTATGTCCTTGTGGTATCAGTGTCATATAATGTAAGAGATTCTGTTATGACTGATGGAAGTGAATATATTATTCCTTGTTGATCCTTTAATAAAACTTGGAAAGTAATTTATGGATAAGGTGTCAGCTTTGTTGCCAGAATTCTAATATTTCAGAATTACTGTTTTGCACTGTCCTTGGACTTCTGCATCTTCTCTGAGTTTAGTTTGTGTTTTACAAACATGCTTCTTGCATGCATTATGAAATTCATTATTGCCTGTAGCCTCCTATGTCCAATAAATCACAATTATTGTGTGTAGGAAAGGCCATTGATAGAGGTTAATTTAACTATGCAGTTTTGTCAGACCATTCATAACGTGTAAGGTGAAGAAGTGGCTACATCTGTAGCTGTGCTTTGTTCTATTTCTTTACATGAAAGAGAGTGGGGCAGGAGCTGAGAGCTGTAACAGGAGTGCTTGGTCTTGAAATGTAGTCACAAAATCCATCTTTTGGAAACTGGAAACATAAGACAGAAGCTCCGAAATGGTTTTAAAGCCCATTTCTTATTACAATAAAATAGGGAAATGTAAAAGTTATTCTTATTCCAATAATCTTACTGCCTTCAGGTAACATATTAATGGAATTGTAGCCTTTAAAGTGCAGAAAACATTTGTAACAGTAAATGTTTCAGTTTTTCGTATGAATTTAATGTTCATTACAGAGATATTGGTATTGTGATTATAACATCAAAACAGATTAAGATTTTAAAGATTTTAAAATAATTCAATGTTTTAAGTACAGTATCTTTATTTCTAAGCTTGTTCAAACATGTTTGTCAGGTTCCTTTAACGGTTTCAGAAACGAGAAAAGGTAAAAACAGAAAATGGTTTTGTATAATGAATCATACTCAAATTAACTGTTTTTTCATTGTCTTTGTGTTTTTGGTAATAATACTTCTAAGTACCATTTTCTTGCTTTGAAAGGAGCCCACAGTTTCAGTTTCTCAATATTTATCTAATATTGTTAGATGTCGTGTCGTGCAGCATTGGTTTAATGTATTTAGAAGTGACATAATGAATAGGCATCAGTATGTCGCATTGATTTTGGGTAAGTTTCACTCCACTGGTATACGTTTTAATGTTACAGTTTAAATAGCTGAGTGGTCATGTCCACCTAATTGTAAACCTGTCTTTAATGTTTCTGTATTCCATTAGTGAGATGTCATAGAACTACTCTATTTTTGGATAGAAAATGTGAAGTGTGTCTCCTACATTTTTTATTATTAACCTCATTAAGCAGTTCCAGATATCCTTTGTTCTCTTGCGTACTGGTATATGAAGCAACCTACAGAGTTTATGGAGCTTTCTTTGAAGTTTGACATAAATAGGTGAAAACCTTGTGATTCCTCTGTGTTTTTATATGTAATGGCTGAAGTGTGTGAAAACATTTAATTTATATTTATGCTCTCTGTTTTGCAGTGCCTTTGTTCCTCTCAATGTACCAGCTAATCAAAACTCGACTCAGTGGGAGAAAGTTACGTACTTGTTTGAGGAGCTTGGCAGCAGTCGTAAGTAAACTTAATTGATATTTCTAATTTATTCAGTATTGGTCATGAGACTTTTCTAACCTGGGATTATATACTTCAACATATATGTTTTTATTATTGTTTACAAGTGGGGAATGAGCAGATGAGTAGCTCACAAAATTTAAACAAGTACCATGTAAATTATATTATCACAGCACAGATATAAAAAGCTTTGGCATGGAGTCCAGTTTTCTTTAATGAAAGGTTAAAATATTAATTGATCCTTTAATTTAATCAGTGTAATGTTTTTAACAATGTATTGCGACAGCTGTGGGAGTTTGGGTGTTGTGGCAACTGATCTTTTTGTAGATAGATAACAGAAAATACTGTTGACAATATTGCAGCCGTAAGTTTACTGAGCTAATTACCCCAGAGCCAAACCCAAACCAAGTTTGACACGTAAGCTTTTCATGGCTTACCAATTTCTTCAGTTCCTTTCAAATACCTTCTAGTGTATTGTGCACCTCGGCCCAGGAGAAACTATTTCGTTCTCTCTTGTACATCTGTGCAGAATGACAATAAACAATATGAACTGAGCTGAACTAACAATTATCACCGGGCAGCCAAACTGCTAACAGACTTCACAGACCCAGTTCCCATCACACAATTCCACACAGGGTCTTTTTCTTCCTCTGTTTTTCCTCTTCTTTTCCTTTTGGCTTCCACGTTTTAAAGCATCACCAAAGAGAGGGCGGGGAGGCCAATCCCCGCAGCTTTTTGCCTGAACCTTTCCAGGCTCACATTGTTTGCTATTTCCAAAACACATCTTCTCTGAACTCGGCAAATGCAGTAAAAGGATATCCAAAGGTGTATCTATGATATGGCAATGTTGTTATGCTTTTCATCCTAATAGATCCTAAATATCCCAAAATAGGTCCCACTTCATCCACTAGTGCAGTACCCACCTGGGTGACATGCAACATCTATTATGTGCCAAAACCTTTTTAACTAAATAGTTTGACCCTCAATGAAAAACAAACATCATATAACACAGTGAGTTATGAATTGAATTATGTCTGACTTAAAAAAAAATCTAATAATGTTATACTGTTATCATACAAAATGGTCAGTGTGTTGCCTGCAAGAGATGGATATACAAAGTACTAATTACAGAGGTGGGTGTGAATAAATGTGACCTTTGTGTTTTCTGGACTAAAATGTATAATAACTTTGTTCTGAGCAGAGCTATTAAGATAACTTTCTAACGTATTTCAAGCAAAAGATTTATCCAGTGTATAAATATGTATTTTATAGGATGCTTATTTTTCCTATTTCGCCAGGGATTTGAAAAATGTTGGAGGGAACTGTATACTGTATTGTACAATATATAATAAAGAAATGTGACTACCCAGCATTTGGAGAATTTGATTAATTAATTCATTGGTAAATGAATTAAGCAAGGCCAGATCATACAAGCCTAAAGTGGAATTTCGCTGTGATAGTTAATAACCATGTAGTCAGCACATTGTTTTAATGTCTCATCCAGAGGGTGGAACTTCCTGCAGGACATTGTCCTTTGTCGTCTTACTGGGGCTTTGTGTCCAGATTAGAGTGCCACCTACTAGTCCATAAACACCACTTACAGCAGCACCCTGGTTGTCCTTTGGAAGTCTATTGTCTCAGTACTCACCAGGCCCAGTCTTGGTTAGTTTATGAAATATGATAGAATCAGGCTACAGAGTGAAAATACTGCGGCAGCATGGTGCCTTTTAAGGGCCTCCATAAACCCCATGAGCATATAGTATGTAAAATAGTTACCTGTTGCTCAGGAAGGCCTTTGGGTTTCAGATTAAAATGGTACTCTCTAGTTAAATTTGTAGTGATAAATAATTCTCAAAAACTCTGCATGTAAAATGGCCTCTGGGTACTCGCCTACACTAAAATGTTTCTGTGACTAGTAAATGTCATCTGTTGAAAAAAGGTGTTACATTTAAAATGTGATTATCTGGGATGAGCCAGATACAAAGTGTAAGAACTTCACAAAAATGACAAACTTTCTTGCTGTTTTTTCCTATGTTCTATTGTAAGATAAGTTATATATGCTGGTTCATTTCTTGTTAAATTGTCTGTTCAGTTTTGTTTCCACTTGGTATTGGCACATTAACACTGTCAATGTCAGAACAGCTCATCTTGCTCTAGGGACTTGGTCATCAGCTTCATCTGCTTCTCCCTGTGAGTCATCTGTACTGTCATTTATTTCCCTGGAGCTGAAGTCTAGTGGTGGAATAACGGAATAACAGATTCCGATGTGTCCTGCTGATGGACTCTGTCTCTGGGGTCTGTGAGAAGACCCAGTACTGTCCTCAGGCCCCTGTGTCTGTATCTGAGCTTCACTCTTGTCTACCAGAGGTGCACCTGGCTTGCACAGTGGCCATACCAATCCATGGCCTGCGAGAGAATTGCCAGATTGCTGAGCATGTTGGTGTCTTGCTATCATATGTGAAGATTGTAAAGATATATGTAAATAAAAAGCTGCAAAGAATAATTGCTTGAAGGACCTTAAGGATGAAGGTATTGTTTCTGAATCATGTCAAGCACTGTTATTGCATACAGACGGTGTCCATTAAACTACCTGTGTGGCTTGCCAAAGTCATTTTGTTCACCTGAACCTGACTTAGGTTTTGCATTGCAAAGGAAGCGAATACGTACGCAATTAAAATATGAGCTTTTGTTTTTTCTTTGATGTTACTTTTTAATGACATGGGTTTGACCCACAAAAATGTTCAGTTTGAGCATTCAGGATTTGATTGAAAGTATTCACTTGTAAACATTTTTTACAATTCCACAAAATGAGATCATTGGAATGAAGTGAATACCTTTGCAAGGCAATGCATTAGGTTTGTTTTTTCACTTAGATTGGCAGGTATCGTGCCTTTAATTAAATAAACAAAACTTTTCTTCTCAATCTCAGTCTTGCTTGTCTAGTAAAAAACTAAACAAAGCTGATGCTCTTGTAAGGTGGGATGTTTTTTGTTTGTTTGTGATAAACACGCTTTTTCGAATTGAATATAACTCACCAAGCATAGCTTTTCTCTATACTAAAGAAAATAGCACTTTCTTTTTTTTTTTGTTTTCAATGTCTTGTTTCCAGCCTTTTACTTTGGTTTCTTTTTATGGAACGATGTGTGTCTGATTTTTAGTAGTAATGATGATTCAAAAGACATTTGTGGATAATTATGAAGAAATTTTATATTTTCTGAGCTCAGTGACTCTGTACAGCAGAGCAGATTCACTACTGTGTGTTAATATTGTTCCAGCCCATAGTTTTTGTAATTGTGTGACATATTTCATTATTAAACTATTCATCAGTGAAAACCGATTAATCACGGTTCAGGCAGAGGATGCCAAAACATATATGTGCAAGTCAAGAACTATTTTTAAAAGGAGCAGTATTAAACTAAATATATAGTACCATTTCAGATGAAAGGTGCCTGTATTCATTTACAAGTGTATTGTGTACCAACATTTCTTACCAGATTTATTGGTTATTTAGCATAATTAGTTTTTGTTAAGTCAAATGATGTTAAATCTAGAAAGAAAGATACTGTGTGTGTACTTCACAGCAATAGCCTACTGCCTGAGGTTTTAGGTCTCCCTCTATCCAGGTATGAAATTGATGCCTTCAGGTCATTAACCTGTATATCTATGGAGCCAGTTGGTCCTCCTTTGATGTATTGTGTACCTTGAGCATTCCAATGCATTTCCATTCCCAGTCTGAGTCCATTGTCTGTTTACAAGTAGAGTGGACCATCTTGGAGGAATTAAAATTTTCCAATTATTGCAAATGCCTTTTTGTTTTTTTAGGAAGATTACATTTAGATTTTTGAACTGGACAAAAACTTCCATCTGGTATTTCTTCTTAGAAATAGTGTGAGGTGAATAGTCATGCAGAATGAAACTTTAAATTAGTGCCACTATATTTTATTGCAGTGACAAGATATTTCTGTTTAATTATGCAACTAAGGCTAGGCACTAAACGCAGTCATGCATGGACTTTGCCTTTGAATTGTGGGCAGTATAATGAGAAATTTCTTATTAAAAAAATAAAAGGGGGGAATATATTCTTGAATATAATCTATTTCTGTACTCCATATCTTATTTGTCCTGGTATGTTTAATAATAACTAAGGATGAAGGGCAAGTCCCCAACAGAGTGTCCATTGATCTATAATAAATTGACATGAATATCTTTAGCAGAATTGTTCAGTCATGCCCACATCAAAATTGTCTGGCTTTGCATGGAATTACAATACCTTTAAGTGGTTCTGTCTCATCCCGGACAATATATTTAGACCATATTTTAATCATTCATGCATGTGGCTTACAGTTAATTCCTTCTTTTATTATTTCTTTTGAGATATTGTTTTCAGGGGGTAGCTAGAGTCTAATTTTCTTTGCTCTCTCTATTCATAAAACAATATGAATCAAAATAAGATCATAACTTTCCATATTGTAGATAGCTGAGTGACCAGAACAACCCCTAATACAAAGCTGCTGAGTATTAGGGCACAGTTTGCTTGCACCTGCACTTTTCCTCACTAACACTTTGCAAAATCATAAAACAGTAATCTCAGTATGGATTCCGTCAACTTTAGCTGTGGCACGTAATGGACAGATGAGATGTTTATGGGCTGGTTTTAAAATTTCTTATTAAATCACTTACAGTGGGCTGCATAAGTATTGGAACCCTTGATAAAGATGAACAAAAAAACCAATATAAAATAAACAGCGGTGATAATGAGCTATATTTTATGTCATCCAAATTGGGAAAACTACAAGTTTCTAATAAAATTATTTAAGAACAAATGTTTTTAAATTGGTAATACCATTTAATCAAGGGTGCCAATCATTCTTGAGACCACTGTGTTTTGATTTGTGTCCAGCTGTGTTTTCATACAGAAATCCTGGTTCACGGTATGTAATAAATGAAGGAAATATTCACTGCTGATAGAATCCTAGTTTCAGAAGGTTCAGATTAGAGTTTTGAATATTTCATACATGAAAATTAAAGAACATCACACAAGATATCTCAGAATCTAAATAGTTGTAAATACAGTTGATTATGATAGATTGTGTATTATTAGTTAAGTATTGAAAAAAGTTAGTTTTTTTTTTCTTTTTCAGAAAGGTTTTTTTCTCTGTGTAGCTTAGTGCTATGTATACTGCAGTTCAAACACAAATCTCAGATGCCTTTTACCATTTTGCTTTGCAGATGGCTTGGCTGCCCTGTCCTTCTCCATTAGCTCCTTGACCTTGATTGGAATGCTGGCAGTGATCACATACACGGTAAGTAGGAAAAGGACCAGTGGTTGCTACCACTTCATTAACATTGATTTCCATGTACTCAGGAGAACTATGACAGTACAAATTGACCTGTGTGTTGGCAATGGAAGTTTTGACATTTGGCTGGTCATTTCTTAAAGGCACAGTACGTTCATGTTCTGGGAAGTGTCACTGCAAACAGGCTTTGAGTGAATGTTTTGTAACTATACCACTTGTCTGAGTAAATGTAGCAGCACAAATAACTTGTTGAAATTATTTTTAGCTTAAATGCTCTGGGCCCTGTGCTTCAGTCCTTGACACCTTTCAGTCATACCATGGAAAAAACAGAATTTAAGAACCATTGAGCGATTCTTTAGAGTATTTTGCTGAAGCATAACTTACCATATCTATTATATGGTTAGAATGTGTGACTTTCAAGTGCATAAGCATGGCCCAACTCTTATTTTCTGTATGTCTACCGACCTAATGAGTGAAAATTCGAATAATCCTTGCCTGTATTTTGATTCCTGCTCCCTTCTGTAGCTGCCTGTTTTTTTTTAAGTAAGAAAAACTAACTCTGCTGTAACCCTGGTTAATGTCATAGATTTTTCACAGCTGCTCTCATGGTAACTAGGCTGTAAAGTGCTTCAGGGTTTTAGTACCACAGTGGAGCTAGGCAAAACAACAGTTTGGATAAACAAAGGAAAAAAATAAAAATAACTTTTCTGCGAGTTTCTTTCTATTAAAACATGAAGCCAGAAACCCTGACATCTCCCTAGAGCTGTCAAAAGGAATTACAGTAAGTTACGTCTTAAGTGTCCCACACGGTCTCTGAAGCTGCAGCCGTTGTGCATAGTCCATGAACAAATCTCAAATCGGTGCCAGAAGTCAAAAATGTTTTCATATTCTTTTGTAGTTTACTTTGTATAAAGTTTTCCATTTTTGGTGTGGTCTGGTAATTGGCAAGGCCATCGGTTTCTGTACAAAAAATGTATTTTTTTTACCTGCTATAGATTGTTTAGGATTGAGCACATAAGTTATCATTTCAAGTCTTATTACTTTGCCTCATTAACCTAATGGAGTCAAAGTGACTAGTTCCTTATGTGGTGATAACAAAAGAGCTGTACAGTATGTGCTAATTTATCATAGGCTCTTGTCCAAAGCTGACCACTTAGAATTAATTCAAAAACATAACAATACTGTTTACTGCTTCTGAAAAGGAACAAATGTTTTAGTCTGACGTTTCCAACATCCAATGTACGGCTGTTAAGATTTATAATTTAAGTGCAGTTTGAAAATGAATGTGTTGTCCTAAAAATATCAAAATACAAATCCTCACAGTGACTAGAACGTCTCTTAATTGAGCTCTGTTCTAATCTGTATAAACAGTTTCAGTTTCTGGGCAGTTTTAAGTAAATGTCTGTAGTATGACATTCATTGCTGTTTTGAAGTAATCATTAAAAGGTGGAGTGCAGCTACCCTTTCTAGGATGCATTGTTATATTGGAAATTTCATTTTTGACACCTATTTTGTTTTAAAGTTAGATCTTCAGCTAGTATTATTCCCCATCCCCTGATTATTCCCCATTAGTCCAAGTACAGTTACAGACACAAATTTTGGCAGCTTTCATTTTAGTACAGTGTTATTTATTCATTGTGTCTAACAATGTTGTAAATTGTATTTCAGTGGTCCTTTGAAACTATAGTTAATACTTTGCTGGCTAAATTTATTAGTGAACGATATTAAAAATGAAGGGTGCTCACGCTGTCTTCTGTAACTATACTATGTGGTGGTATCATCACATTTGGCATACTGTTTCCAACAAAAAGCAAGCAATTTATGTTTAATAAATTTGCTGCACTGCAAAAACATAATTTAAAATGCATTTTGTGATGCTGCTTTAAATTGCTTTTTAAGTAGCTTCTCATTTTCATCCCCAAATAAATGTATGGTAATTTACCATTGACTAAAATACTATAGTGGATTTTCATAGCAAATATTATGCATTCTGTTTAAACACAAACATTTTAATATAGTACAGATTTGCTACTGTTTGTGGTTTGACATAATGGAAATGAGTAACAAATAGCATTTCTACAATGCTAATATAAATTAGAATATATGTGTATATGATATTTCCAGTATGTAGAGTGTGCATATATAGAAACACAAACCATCTACCCCTTGAAGAAAAGGACATACAGAATGAGTTTACAGAAACTCTGATCCCCCTTCATGTGTTGTGGGAACTGCAGAACTAATCAAATGCGCTCAAGCTGGTCAAAAGATAAAAAATGCTTTGAAACACAAGCAAACATTTTCTTCTCTGAAGGACCCTGAAGTGCTAAAATAAAATGATATGCGGAGTTATCACACACATTGAGGAGACTAGCAGAACTGTGAAATAACTGATAGACTAAAAAGCATACTAATACAGTAGCCCTGTCTGTGGATGGCACTGTACTTGCATTTCAATCTAAATTGAGAACCATGAGGTGATAGTTGATCCAAGCTTGATGTTTGCCCCACATGTGCAAAACCATCATGCTTCCACCTCAGAAATATTGCTAGACTATGTCCTATGTTGTTGTTTAATGTTGGTGAAAAGCTGGTCAACACATTTGTCCTTTCTCGACTCGATTACCAAAGGTATGTTTCAGAATATTTAGAAATCCAGATTCTTATTTTGAATTACAATATATCATACCAATTCATGTGGTGTGAAAATAAATCACCCAAAACATAACCATCCTTGAAGAAAGGTTAAGCCTTCATCCAATTGAACCTACAACCTAAAACACTGCCTAAAAATCAAGATACACTTCTAAAACATATTCCTACTATACAGATCACAAATTGCGTTTCATTTGTAACACTTTCCATAAGAACAAAAAGGCTGTTCTCTGTTTGAAAACCATGAATTCCAAGAGTGCAATCTTTATATATAATGTGTTTTACCCCTGGCCTGAAGGTTTAATAGACCAGGGCTGTGTAATTCACTCTGAATCTCTGGAGTATGATTTAAAAAGCTCCTTGCAAGGGATGTTGAGTAGGGCTCATGGCTTTGCCCCATGTGCTGCACTTTCAAATCTTCAGCTGTAAGATGCTGATGCAGAAAGAAAAGGTAAAGAGATTAGTTTTCAGGACTTCTATACAACAGCTATAATTTGGTTTTAGAGGCCGAAGATCTAACGTATTGTTTAGGAAATGTTATACAATTGTTTACAAAAAAGGAAACTTTTCCATAGTTTTATCACATTCTTTTCAGTAGTACAACGCAATGGCATTTAACAAATGGTTTTTCAGATCAACTTATTATTCATCTTGGTGCCATACTGCTGTTTAATTTAAAGCAGCATTGTATGGATTACTAGAAAGAGCTTTGGTGGTTTGTTTATAGCACCTCAAAGTTGACTTTGGCCCCTGAAACCTTACTAATTGTGTCACATATCAGTGGGGTCTTCATTTAAGATGCAATGATCTGTGGTATGCACTGAGACCAGGATCCTCGAAAGAAGTCAGGGTATCAACTTAGTCAACATGGCTAAGCTTGTTGGATAGCTTGTTCTAGATCCACACAACACTTTGTGCTTTTTTTCTTAAAACTAAAAAGATGCAGTCCACTTTTAGCCTGTCAGTATAGAGTGTACCTTTAAGCCCAGTGATGTCTAATATGATGTTCACTGGACTGATTCTATGAGGTATTCTATGTACATGAAATTGTGATGCACTGTACATTTTTAACATAGCATCCCTCGATTTAAATTCTATACTTTTTAGCTATAGATTCTTACAGTCTTTTTTTATTGCTTCCTCATATAGTCCAGAAGTCATATTGTTCTCGAGTTTCGTATCAAGTTCATTTTTATTAGTGATGTAGTGATGTGAGGGTTTTGATTTACTGTGGCAATCAGAAATGGTAATAGTAAATGGATACTTGACAACTTTTAGGACTTAATCAAACAAAATTGATGGACTCAAACACAGATTCTAAATGTAAATATATTGATATAGCACCAAAAAGCATCCATCAGAAATAGATAATATTTAATAACTAATCTGCTGTTATACAAAACTGATCATTCACTTAGGGATTACAAGAATTGTTAACGTCAGAGTTAGAATACATCCACTATAAGGTTATGGTTTACCCACGTAGGTTTTATTTGTCTGCTATAATTACACCACATTCATTATCTCAGATACAAGTTAATGCATATTAACGATCATGAAATAAACATCAAAAATGTGTTTGGAATAATAGTTTGATGCTACAGTGACTTGTAATACTAACTTAAATATCTGTGTATACTATGCGTTTGCCCAGAATTGTATCAAATTCCTTTTTGAATTTCATTAGCTTATGCTGCAGTGCTTGTTAAACCATTTAGATCATTTAGAATTTAGATCATTAATATAAATAAGCAAGAGCACAAGACCTAATACAGATCTTTGTCATACTACATTGATTATATCACCAGTTCAATATATACTTCTTATCTGTACTCAGTTTTCTGTTCTTTTAACTATTTCTGAATTTAAATTCACCTATCCCCATATGCTTACTGGTTGTAAATTGAAATTAAATTTTTCAATAAAAGCATTCTGAAAATTATAAATATATCATATGGTATACTCCATCAGTGACTGTTATTGTTACTTAAAATTTTTAAAAACTTATTTAACTTGCATTAACTATTACATAAAGTTACAAATCAGAGGCTATTGATGCTACTAACCTGTTTGCTAGTTCATGCAACTGAGTTCATACTACCTCTCTGTGTTTTGCAATGACCTAAGAATCAACATCTCTTGTTTTCTCACAATTAATAGAAAACTATCAGGCCTTGGAGGCCTTTATCTTGGGTGTTTCTAATGGCTGCACATTTCTGTTTCATCTGTACTAACACTATTTAGTACTTTCTGATACCTGAGGCATGTTGGTTTCTTTATTGAAATGTTCCTGCATGAATAACTCATTTATTTATGACCCATTACACTTTTCCAGATTTTTCCCACTACCCCATTTTACAGGTGACTACTTCCAATAATGGTTGTAGAGGGTTGTGAGGGGTTCATTTTAGAAGGGTGCATTAAGGGTTGTTTTAAGAATAAACCTTGAAAAACAACCTTGGACATATAACAGTCATTATTTGTCATTTCCTCTTAAAGACCTCTGTACCATAGTATGATGTGGATACTTAATTACAAAAATTTAGTTTTGGTAGAATTGTTTTATTTTTAATACCAGTTTATAATAACTTTCCATTGTCTGTTCTAATTAAAAACATTGGACTGGAGTAATGGTGATCAGAACACCTGGTTTGCTTCATCTTCCTATATATCAAAGCAGGATGTCTCTGAGAAGCCACTAAGGATAAGTACATGAGAGCCAAGCCAAGCTCTACATTATTAACTTTTATGGTAGAGATTTGATCACTTGTAGTTAATGCCATTAGAAAACTTTTCTTTAAGATTTGTTGCAAAGAAAATAATTAAAATAGGCTTGGGCATAAATCAGCTTGTCCATTAGCTCTGAGGAGTATAACTGGTTTATGCACTTACGCTAGATGTGTTTCTAATGAAATTTGTCACTACAAAGTATGCATTTAAGCATACTTTAAATAACAGCTTCCTTCCTGCTGCAGGCCTCAACACAATACCTACATTCAATTACTTTCAAATTCTGCTAAAATCCAAAATATATGCAGCAAAAAAATGTGCAATTCTTTCTTAATGTTATTAAAAGCTTTATCAGTTTTTTTGTTGCAAAATGTTTTTTAGAAAATAAACTAATACCTATCATAATAATCTTTGTTCGAGAAACATAACATTGTATTTTTCAGATTGGCATATATTTTAGAAGCTCTTTTGATGTGTGTAAGACTATAAAATAAATGGCTTAAGGTACAAAGAAAAAATGCTTATGACAGAAGCGATAGAACATTGATGAATAATTCATGTCTTTTTCCTTTCTTGGTTACATTTTAAAATATGTCAGGACTTGAAATCAAAACATAACCAGTGCTTTACATCTGAAGTATGGAAATGATAGTTTGAGTTATTCTGGATATTAATAATTATTGACTATTCTGTTAATGTGATGCATCACATCCTTTCTCAGTCTGGTGTTACTGGATCAAGTAGTCTTTAGAAGTTAAATGGTTTTCTGTAATTTATCAGAATCAAGCAAAGCTTAAAGAATTGTTAGGATTGATGTGTTTTACCAGTTTCTCTTTTTAACTAATAATGTATCTGTGCAACTGTAAAATCACCAGTAGGAGAATTGTTGCTGTGAGGGTTTAATGTACTCTGACAGTGTACAGAATAAATACAGAATAATCTCATATTGTGTTTAGTACCAAGCAGTAGATTTTCCCTTAAAATGCTCATCTGCTTCTGTAGAGGGGCTTTTGATGTTTGAGGTGTAATTAGAGCATGCCTCATTGGTTTCTGCGACATTACTAAGCTTGAAATAATGCAACAGCTTTAAGGCAGCTGTCAGTGGGAGTTCAAATGCATTCAGAGCCATATTTCATATTTCATGTAGAATCAATATATTTATTGATTGCTCCCTTACAGGAGACAGATGCATATCATTTGAGAATATTTTTTTCTGAGTCTAGGAACTGGCTTTTTACATGTGCTATGGCCTTTTATAGCTCTTTACTTGGTCTTTTCAATGTTGTATTATTACTGAGGTGGTAATGAGTAAAATGTATCTTAACTGTACGTCAGTGGGATTGGCATATGCATTTTCTATTAAGCCAGTCATAATCTTCCAGTTTAATATTAGCAACTTGAAATGTCAAAATGTCTGCATTGTAAAAATCACTGAAGTTGTTCATGTTATTAAGATAACTTTGTGGTACTATGAATTTCTTAAAATGTATCCGAAGTTGATTTTTACAAATCTGTAAAGATTTTTTGTAAAGATAGTGTAAATATGGTATGAGTACCAAAATCTGAGGGCAAAACATTTGTCCCTGCTGTTTGCTGTAGAAAGAAAGTGGTAATTCATTTTTGATAATGTGCTACATTTCCTTTAAATAGGGCCTTTCTGTAGGTTCTATGTGCAGGGATTTTTTGTTGCCACAGGCTGCCTGCATTCACAGCAGAAAAGGTACTCCTACAGCCTGCAAAAATGAAGATTTCACTAGCACATCTGGGTCTCTGAATCCACCTGTTTCTGTTGAACCATAAAAATTCTGCACTCTTCTCTTTATTGTTTAGACACCGAGTTCATGTTAATATCTACAGTGAGTTTAAGTTCAGACAGGACAGGTGGGATTTATTTATTTCCAAATAAAAAAATATTTTTTAACTATAAAAGAGGAAGCTTGTTTCATTGGTTTCTGCAGAACAAACTGGTGTCTATTTTGTTTTTTTCTCTTCGTCAAAGTCACTAATTTATTGACGGTCAGAAGTAAAAGGTTTGTCATTGCCGGCTTCCTCTATGAACTTGCTTGGCATTCGGCTCATGTTCTCAACTAAGGAGCCCTGTGATCCATTTTAAAAAAGCTGATGGCTTCAATATCAACTAATAGTATATCAAACAGCATCTTCATCTGTGATTGCTCTAAATTTACAATACCAAATAATAGTTTGTTGTTTTTTTAGATTAAATCCATACTTATATTTTTTCATTATGGATCCTAGATCTTTACATGGTCAGTAAAATAAATAGCAGTGAGTATTAGAAAAGGCATTAGCAAGAAAGACAGCTGAACTATATAAAAACCTATATTTCTGAGCCCAATCCCCTTATAAGGTAAGTCTCATATCCTTCTGTATTGCTGATTGCGGTTGTCAATGTCTTTGCTTGTATGTAATGTTGACTTACAGCCATACACCTACTGGTGATGTTCACTAAAGTTGGAAATGTGGTTTTCTTCTGCCAAAATACAGCCCAGTGATATTTTTTAAAATGCAGACAATTCTATGGGTATTTCTGTTTGGTCAGGTCACCTCTGAATTTTATCAATTTGCAAAATACTTGTAGATATTTCATTTTTTTATTCTTTTAAAAGCCAATATACTTAAAAATGCTGTCAGACAGATATGCGCACTCTAAAAGATTAGTGGAAGACCAATCCCCATGCCCACTTTTCAATTCCTTCACAGTAGGAAAAACATTTTTATTGCCACAAGGGGGCACTGTTAGGCAACAGATTGCAAGAATTACTGTATTCAAGTAGCACTGAATTTCTTCTTGTCACAATCCAAGTGAGTTGTCATAGAATGCATGAATTTATTTTGTACTCCTTTGGGGGCTATTTCTAGTACTTACTAAAAACAATTATTAAGGAAACACCTTGTTTAATGTTTATAGTTTCTTATATACATTTTTGTGCATGGGTGTTTGTATTTCATGCACAGACACACACATATAATTTCATATTTTGCCTTTTGTTTTCAGGCCTATGGTATGTCTGTCCTGCCCCTAAACCTCATAAAAGGCACCCGGAATGTTGCATATGAACGTCTGGAAAACGTAGAAGACATTGAGGAAGTAGAGCACCAAATAGAGAAGATCAAAGCCACGGTTGGTCACTGATGATTCATGGCTTTTTTAATTAAAATATATTTTAAAAAACATGTATTTCAGATGAAATGGCAAATTTTCAATAACTGAATTTGCTAACATAACACATGTGACTTGACAATTGTGAACAGTTTATGTGCTCTTGCTGTGGATGATCCGTCAGTGTGTTCCTTGTGTTTCACCAGTGTACCGATGGCCGACCCCTGTCCTCCAGAGACAGGTGTGCTCTGCACCAACTGGAGTCAAAGCTGCAGGTTCTTCACCGAAGGGAGAGACACTTGGAAATAGCTGAAAAGAACTGCTGCACTATGTTCTGCAGAGCCCTTCGTCCTTTTAAGGTGAAGTAGGCTAAAAACATGATCATTTTACTTCCATCAGAAATAGAGTTAAGATGTCACAGCTGCTGTGTCCAATGAGTTTTGCATGCTGGACTAAGGCTCACATTTGCCTGATGCACACCAGGTGTGAAAATGCCTTTAGCAGGTTTGTGTTCATCTCATGTACTCCATTGGAGCACTGGAGTGATTGTTGGGAGGTACTTGCAATAAAGTCTGTTGAGGCTGTCCTTAACTGATTTGATGGCAAGTTCCTAATTTGAATCTGAAGCTCCCAATGTTGCAGCCAGTTACATTAGTCACTGCATCAGTCATGGTAAGCAAAAAATCTTATATAAACCCATGCACATGATATATCAGGTTATAATACCCTTTCTGTCTGATCTGGACAGATAGCTTTGTCTGTTTTGTTTTTATAGTACAGTATGAATTAAAAAAATCAATCTTGTGGGGATATACAAGGTGATAAAAGAAAGTATTACTAATTATTAATATTTTCTTCTAATAGTAATAATATGTGATAGAATATATTAATTAAAAAAGAACAGCATAATCTGTACAACCATATTGCTCATCACTTTGAGGAATTTAAATTTAATGAGAAGCTCCTCAGAAGTTTAATTTATATGAATTTGTATGCTAAAAGGTGGAAAAGAATATTTAGTTATAATGATATGAAATGATCATATGACTGTAGGCCTAAAAATATTTTTTTTTAAAAACAAGGGAGAAAATGACAGTAAGATGAAAGTCACATTATACTTGTATTTCAGTAGTCATATGCTGCTGGATTTGGAATTGAGAAATCTTCGTAGCTTGTGCACAGCAAATAAATTTCATTTCTTTGTGCTACGCTAACCTGTGAGGCAGAAATTGAACTGCAGTAGCTTCAAAAAACAGGATGAACGCATTTATCTGCAGTGCCTCCAGATGATGTTATTTCAGCCATGTAAAATGGAAAATGAGATTATATTCTTTCTGAACACAATGAAAATGCCTGTACCAAGTTCTGAAAGCCACAATATCTGCCACCTAAGAAGAAAAGAGTTATTTTTTTCTTTTGATAAGATGTTCTACAAATTTGCACATTTTGTATTTTGTAAGTATATGGTACATACAGGGTGCCTACAGAAACAGAATTGAGAGCAAATAATGTATCACTGTAACATATATTTAGGGAACAGATCATCAAGAAAAAAAAAGATCCTGTTCTTTTTATAGGACTTATAGCAGTCATATTTAGGCTCAGACTAAATGACCAGTGTTCAACAGTTCAATTTCAGAGAGCTGTTTTGGCAGAGAAAATGTACTGTATGTGTGCAATACTTGGTAATGATCTAAAGACACTGACTAGTCACGGTGATGCGTCTTAAAGGGATCAATCTATTTTTTATTTTATTTTGCCAAGCAAGTCAATTGAGAACAAATTCTAATTTTACAATAGCAACCTAGAGACCCAATTATACAGGGAATCTGCTGCAGCAATTTGACTACAGCACCTTGCCAAAGGCTACAACATTGGTATCCCATGTGAGATTTGAAACCACAACCCTCTAGCTTTCATTTAAAACACAGATCACAGTGGGTGATGATAGAAGAAGAATGCCTTTCCTTTAGTTTTTGATGTTGTATAAGGCAAGGAAGAGCACAATGTTGAACTGGTTCTTGATAAAGGCTTTTTAAAGCCTTTAAGCATTGGCTACCATATATTACCCCTCTGATTTTTATCCAATAGCTGAAAAGGACATTGGTAATAGCTAGCAGTTTCATATCTTGCAGTTATTATATCGAATACTTAACCTTGTATACAAGTTTCCTAAGGCAAACTGTTAGCTGTTAGCTATTATAGCAAATAGCTTTTAGTAAAACGGTGCCATTTTCGTTCTCCCAGAGACACAATGCAATTTAATGCAGATCTTGTTCCTGGTACAATCAGTGAAGTATTTAATTGATGTTTACAAGTTTCTCAACATTGCCCACACTGGTATAAACAGTCATAATGGAGATGTACCTGAAATGTTTTTAGGCAGTAAATTCAAAACATACAAATAACCACAAAACCTGGAGCATAACATAAGGTAAAATAGGTAAAGATAGGTTTTGGTATACACTGTAGTCCTAAACTTAAAGCTATAGTTGCATTGCATGTCAACTGTGTATTAGTTTTAATGCTTGTTGTTGTCAGAAAATCAAAATCCATCTAAATATTGCTGAACGTTGCTAGCATTTTATATAATAACTTGATTAATTGTTTCAGTATAGCTGTTATTTTATATTTAGGGAGGTATGTTTGATTAATTTTCATGACAGCATTCAGTGAAGTTTTAAGTCATACCAGTGACAAATATTGCATTTAGTTTTATGGAATGTAGTTTTTTTTTATTTTAATCAAGTTGTGTTCTCAGAACATATTTAAATATTTCATACATTTTTTAAAGCAAACATTTTCAGAAATATTTAAATGTTAGTAAACTTGGATAATGACGTCTTAAGATTCAATATGAATAGCAATAGGGAGAGCTGGTAATTGTTAGAAATCTAACTTCACTTGGTCTGAATTCAGGATAATAACTGGATTGGTTAACTGTTTGTTACAGTGACATAAATGAAAATAAAATTAGAGTATTTAATCCTGATTTGTCTCAGATCTGATGTGAAATATGATTTGCTTAACAAATGCTCAACAGATCAAAAATATCCATGAGAGTGCTTATCTGTTGTATTACGATACCAAATGATGAATCCTGTAGTATTTGTTATTGCTTAGCCTGATCTAAGCTAAGCAAGACTGTGCCTGGTCAGTACTAAGCTGGAAGACCTGTAAAGTAAAGGTTGTTGCTGTATATGTGATGTTGATGGACCAGTAGGTGACATCTTTGAATTCTAGACCAGAACATCCAAAACAATGTGCCAATATAGTGACAGGGGACAACGTACTGTAGCTGGAGGAAATGAAACCAAGTTCATTAAAGATTCCATGACTCTATCTGGAAGCGAAGGCAAACCCAGATACCTCGGTATCTTTGCCGAATTCTGCCTTGGGCTAGGAAGTGTGGCTGTACCTTAATAAGAAATTTAAATTAAGAGGCCACTAATTCTCAAAAAGCAGTAATTCTGCAATGTGCATTTTTAGCTTTACTACACATACACAGCTAATGTGCTCTAAAACACCAGTGTGTTATTGTAATATTTTCCTAGTTTGTCCACAGAGGGATAAAGAATTCTCTTCAGATGTAATCAGATTTGACAGAAGGATGGGGACTTTTTTGTGTGCTTCATAATATTATACTTCAGCGATTAGTATCCTGATGGTGTTCTGTTAACTGTAGCATCACATTTGGGAATCCAAGACAATTAACTTGAAATTGCTCTACTGTGGTGAGCGCTCCATTATCCTGTAAATGGAAAAGATCTTGGCCATATCGGTACTGTTTAGCTTGATGAATAAAGCAGAGTTTTAGAGCAATTTGTTTTCAGTTTCATGTATTTAGTTAGCAAGAGGAAAATAAACCTGATTTCTCTGAGGATTTCCAACCATACAGGTTTGTGTGCACACTGCAATTAAAGTTCTTATGCTTCTCAGTGTAATATAACACCATACAGAATATTTTTAGAAGGTTTATATTATTAGGTTTTTGGAAAGAGACCTGAAAATAGCAGTTGCACCAAATTGATTTGTACTTACCAGTGATGATCTAATGAAGCTTTCCTATTCCATATGAAGAAAACATGAGCGGTAGCTTACTTCAGTGTTAATGGGGAGAGATGAGGCAATGCTCAGATATGCAGTGCCATATATACCTACTGACATATATACCTTGCAGTTCTTGACCTGGAGCTGCTTCTTGCTGAGACAAATCCCTGTTCACTTTTGCAAATGAAATCATATTGATAATTTTGTCTGTGACAGTGTAATATGTGCATATAGCAGCAGATCTAAGAATCACCATCTTGTATCTGAAACAAGGTTATTTCTTAATTATGTTGGACAAACATTTTCTCAATGCTTCATTATGAGTGATACTCTACTTCTGCATTTATTGGACAAATTTAGATAAAAGTGATTTAACATTTCAACACTTATAGTATATATACTGTATATCAGTCATTGTAGTTTTGGGATGTCTGTTTTATTGCACTGTCAAGTTTTAGCATTCACCATGGTGCTCAGTAAAGAGATTCTTTCTCATCTTAAACCACTTCAGTCTTATCCTTGCTCCAGGCGCACATTTCATGTTTACATCCCTGTTGCAGTGATCACTGCAATTTAATATACAGCTTTCTCTGTAAATGCATTGCAATTCTGTATCTATGCAAACATAATCAACTTTATACACAAGGATTTTTTGCCCGTTTATAATTCAAGGTATTTTAAGTAGATGCACTAGTGACAGCATTGAGATGCTATCATATCCCTTTGCCAGGGCTGCAGTTAAATGCAGTTAAAAGCTAAGAGCTTTTTAAAGAGCTTTTCACAGATTTTTTTAAGGGTGTCACTTTTCCTAGAAAAATATGGCACTATGGTGTGGTAGGTCTGAAATTGAAATATTTTATTTCTGGCTATGCAATATATGAAAAAAAATCTGTTGTCGCAAGCATAAGAAGTACCAAGAAGTGTACAGCATAATTGTACTTAAATATCAATTAAGGAGTGCTGTGCTGGGGTATTAGCAGAACTTCATTATGCAATAGCCACTACACAGATCTGTGTCAAGGGACCAGGAAGACTTAATTAGGCTTCATAGATGGGCAAAACTTTTGAACATATTAGGACTGAAATTAAATTCCAAGGTTGTCAGTACATTAGTGTTAGACCCCGCTTTGTAATGTTATTCTCATGGGCTTTTTATAAGATAGATAGATAATACTTTATTAATACCGTAGGGAAATTGATAAGCATTTGATTTGATAAGCAAAATTATAAGCATTTGATTACAAAATTGATGTTCTATATTTTAAGAATACCCAAACACAGTCACCTTCATGTGAGTGAAAGACATACACGGTAGATAGGGAGTTCATTTTATTTTTCGTGTTCATCAGGTCTGACTTGATGATCATTTTGGGTAAGTATTTTAGGAGTTTGTGAGTTCTTAATGAGTGGCATTAACAAATGATGGACAGCCCAAGAACAAATTTAGGTACTTTGTTGTCACTAATAAAACATAACCTATATGTCTATAAAGTCAACAAGCCTCATTAGTGAAACATGGGTTTAATGGTTAGTGCTAAAAACAAATCTGTTACTCATTACCGCTTACATTTTCTTGCTAATAACTACTATTACATGATAGTACTGAAATCGCATTGCTTTTTGACTTAGAATTTAAAAATGTATTAAAAGTTATTAATGTTAAAATAATTGTAATGAAGAATGTTGTATTTCTTATTCCATTACAAAAATTCAGGTGTTTGTTTCTCTGGTATATACAGTACGTGCACAGAATATCTTACTTTTTCACCAGAGAATACAATTAATACAAATATTTCTGAACTAAAGCTGTCCGCTTTAAAGACAGCATTTTACAAAAATAAAGGTTCACAAGTAAAAAAGTAAAAATAAAGGATGTTACAGTCTCCTATGTTTTGTGCAAATTAGTTTATATTTTGGGGCATTCTGCGTATACATTTGAATTAGTATAGCTTAAATGGTAATTGATTATTTAAGAAATGACACATTGCAATTTATATTGTGTGTATTGAATTAACTATAGTTATAGCTATAGGCTTATGTTTAGAACATACAAAATTGAATACCATGAAGTCTTCAAAAATCCAGTAGTCAATGTCCAAGAACTGGACTTAAGCCTAACATGCAAAACTTGTGCAAGTGTATTTTATTTGTTAACATTTGAAATTAACATGTACAGTCCTTCAATGATGAGAATGTGTTCTGAAGTGGTTACCAGAGTTTGAATTAAACTTTAATATTTTTGCTTTCATTTTGAATTGAGTGATTTTACACATGGTGTACTGAAAAAGAACTTTGGTTTGAGATGGAAGAAATTGCATCAATTAATTATACAATATTATTATGAATATATTATACATTATTAATACTTTTTCTGGTGTTTTGGTAAAAGGGCAAACTTGAGTTCTGCGTGCACTTCTGTGTGCAATCAATGAACTGCCAACAAACTTAAGCAATCATGCCTCAGTGGTGACATTATGTATAAACAAAAATAGTGTCCACTTCAGAATTAATTTTGTTTTGTGTTCTGACACATTCATCTCTTCATTTCAGATTGTGTGTGGAGTGTTTTTCATCTTGGTGGCTCTCTTGTTTACTATTGCACTTTTCATATCAAAGTGAGTATTGTTTGGATTCATAGGCTAATGTTATACAGTGATAAAGAACAGAATAGCCTTAAGGTTTAGTTTTGCATTTTGTATTAGTACATATTAGTAGTATTAGTAGTGATTTTTAAACTAAGTGTTTAGAATACACTTCAAACTATGTCATGAGCAGAAATCTTTTGTATCATTTTTTTTTTGGAAGAACAACAGAACAAAACTCTTCCATGGTTGATAGCTATTACCAGTTCAGCTTCCAGAAACGCCTGGCTATTAAGTTCTCTTCTTTTTCTCTTAAATCCCTCTCCAATCCCTGCAAGTGAATTTACCTGGACTTTTTTATTTTTATTATTTTGGATCTATTATTTTTTAAATAAAAATGATAATCCAATCCATAAATAATTATACTCTATATATTTATATATAGAATGTATATTAATGTTAATGTATATTAAATTGTGTTAATATATATAGTAAAAACAAAAAACAATGCTACCACTAATCAATGTTAATGTTTTGTACTATTAAAAGTGCAGCTTACATAACTGTGCTGATTATAAAGAGTAGACTCTTTGTTGTTTCTTAAATTCAGCTTGGATAAAGCTCTTCATTCTGCTGGAATCAACTCTGGATTCATAATCTTTGGAACTAATTTGACCAATCCATTAAATGAACTGTTGTTGGCCCTACAGCCTGTAAGTATAAAATACATTTTAATACAATTTTTCACGTTTCTTCTGTTGTATACATATTTTGAGTTCTTGTTGCCTTTAACCTGCCAATTTGTGTGGTCACTTCAATTGTTTGCTTTCTTTTGTGGCACATGATGGACCCTCTGAGCCTGTTAACCTGTTAAGTCAAGAGCCTGTTAACCCTGATCCTGTTCTACACTAGTCTGCCTTATTCAGTTTTCTATTTTGGCTCCCCAGTTATTTCCTTGCTGCTGTGTTGATTCTTTCAGTTTTGCTTTGGGATCACCTGATTTAATTCCTTTATCTAATGGAGCAGATGCTGCAGTCTCTGCACAGCACAAGTGGTGCATTAATCGATTTAAATATCTCACACGATGTAACCTGCCGCAATCAGCAGGTCCATGTTCCAAGAAAGTACGATTTCAATGCAGGAATAGTTCAGATGCTGAACATTCATAAAAAATTGTTCACAACAATGTTGGCAAGCTGAAACTCAGATTCTCAAATTCTAAAATGATTAGGTCTTCTGGGACACATGGTAATTACCATTTTTGTGATTTATCCAAAACCTTTTGTTAGATCTTTGAAAACACAGGTCGGTATGTATTCTACCCACTTGAAAGTGCATATTGCTCTTTGGCATCTGTCAACTTTCAAGGCATTAAAATTGCTGAAAAAGTTCAGATTGATGTAGAACATTAGAAATGTTCATTCAGTGATTTGATTTCAATTTAAGAATACTAAGGTCGGGGAATTTAATGGATAGACAGACATTTTAATTAAAATGTAATTAAAAAAACATTTTTGCTATTTTTACAATTTCTAGTAATATTACTGCTTATATTTAAGAATGCTTTATTTGTACATTTCTTTGACATCCTTTTAATTTTTACTACTGTTCCTTTACCTGTGACTACTGTTCTCTAATTCACACAGCCCTCTTAGGGCTGATCAGACAGACTTTGCCTTCTTTATCAGTTCTCACTTTTCAGTGGCCTTGATTTGCTGTTCATTGTCATTCCTTAGATTGTTAAATTGATATATAAATCTTTCCCTCTAAATTACTGTCTTAAGAAATGTGGCAAAACCATTGCCCTTCACAATTAACAGCACTAAATTGATAATTAAAGCTTATTTTTTTGACATTATCAGTTAGTGGACAAAAAATGGAATCCAACTGAGGGCTGTAAATAAGGGCCACCAAGTACACTGAAAGCAGGTTTCCTTTCACACAAATGTGGCTAAGTTGTTAATTGAGCAAATAGGTCTGGCTGCCTTTAGTTGTGGCTAGCAATTCTGTAAGAGGAGACCCCAGCAACTTTGACAGAGGGGTGATTCCTGTGGCATGTTTGGCAGCAGCAGTGCAATTGTGGTGCCAATTTGAAGAACTTTGTCCCTGGATGGAGTGCGGGGCACACTTTCCTGGCATGGTTTGGGTGCACTTATTGCCTTAGAATGTATGGCCAATGCTAATTGCTACTTAATGATACTTATTTATCGTCTTCACCCCATGTTGCAGCATTTCTTTTCTGCTGGGAAAGTTTTTTTCCATGATGACAATACCCCCATCCAGAGCATGTGTGGCCACCCAGTGATTTGATGAGCAAGACACTGATTCCATATATCATTTCCTTCCCAGTCCCAAACCTAATCATTGAACCTAATCGAGACAGTATTTTCGATCTCCATCCAGGATTGAGCTGATTGAATTTCTTGTGGGAGAATGGTGCTGTATCCGTTCTGCAGAATTCCACGCACTTCCTTGGTGCATACTGGCCATATGTGGTGGCCTAATACTGTATTAAGTGATTTTAAATGAGTGCTTCAATTATTTGTCCACTTTGTACTTGGATGTAGTTTATACAAAATATTAAGGATATTTAAGATATATTGGTGTGTACTACAAAACCGGATTCATATGCAGCATTTATAACTTAACACAATATTGAGGCTAATTCATTGTGTCTTGATTTCAGGTCTTTCCATTGGATTATGTCTTGATTACTGTTATCACAATGTACTTTGTCTTCACCTCCATGGCAGGAATACGGAACATGGGCATATGGTTCTTCTGGATAAGGGTAATGTGTTGGAAAGTACATAGTCAATCTACAGTGTTATTATTGATAATGGTGTTATTAGTAGTGATTGTACAACCGAAAATTAAAAAAAGGACAAAGGAGAAAAAATATAGGTTTGGAATAAAAGGCTTAGTTGTATTAGAAGGCAACATAGAATAAAATAGGTTTGATTTTTATCTAAAGGGATATTTGTCCTTTTCAAGGCTGTCTTTTGAAATGCCAGTCAGTATAATGTACAAGATTTGCATTAAAATAAGACTTGTCTTGTATTTTATAACATTTCATCTTAGAATGTACAGTTAATACATAGAGGTTCACTTGGAAAACCATTGTATTCAGGATGTGCTTTTGTGCTGTTTTATTTTTTCCATTCCTACTGTGTTTGATGGAGTTACAAACAGTTATTTCTTACTAATAATTATGAAGTTGCATTCTAAGGCATTGTACTGATCATTTGGATTATTAACAAAAGTTATGTTTTCTATGGTTTTTATTAAACCCTTTCTATTGTGTCCTTTATTTCTATGACAGTTGTACAAGATTAGACCAGGAAGAACCCAACCCCAGGCTCTTCTGTTTCTATGCATGATTCTTCTGCTGATTGTTCTGCACACTAGCTACATGATCTACAGCCTGGCTCCTCAGTACGTCATGTATGGCAGCCAGAAGTACCTTCTGCAGGTAAGAAGCACACTGCCTAGCTGGCAGAAAAGCAGTAGTCCTTTAAGGCTGTTGGATCTTCAAGAATTCCTGATTTATTTTCTTTTGTGTATAAGACATGGCACCTTTTTCTTCCCAGCTGGAAAATGCAACTTAAATATGTGCTACCGTGTCTAACGGGCCAAATAGCAATGCTATTTTTGTGAAAGGAACCAAGAATACTGCTCAGTGTTGACAGCTAGTACTTTTAGTGGTACAGAGTAGTCTCTCTCATGCCACATTTACTGCACTTTCTGCAATTATTCAGCCTAGCCATTCCAAAATTACTTTCTGTTTTCATCAATTAATACAAACTTTCACATCTGATTTATTGTTACTTGGAAGCAGAAAAAATAGCTTCAGGCATCCCAGACTTCAGCACTTTGAGTAACTCATGCAGTTCTTTGTAGCAAACTGTACTTGAAACTGAAGCTTTCTAGTCTCTGGTGTGCTGATTGAGCTCGGTGAATACACTCCATCGCTATGACTATCTGTGACACATATTCCAGTGTTAGGCACTTTGTATCCAGCGGCTATCAAAAGTATTCACCCCCCTTGGACTTTTTTGCATTTTATAGCACTACAATATAGAATTACAATATATGTAATTGGGATTTTTTTCCATTGATTGACATAAAACACTGTATAATATCGAAGTGAAAACACCTGGTAGCATAAAGCAACTTATACATATAAAATGGCAAAATTGAGCTTGAAGAACATCTGTATAAAAGATTTTTATGTTAACATTTACATCTTCTAGTCTGCGTGTGGAAGGAAAAAGGACAAACAATGTAACTGAAATTAAAACTAGGTGGAATGGCATTTAAAACTGGGTTCTGCAGGTGTATCAAGATCAAGACCTTTTTTTAGCTTTTTTCAAAAAACATTTTAAACACCGGTTTCTTTCAAGATTTCTGGACCTGTTATTGTACTACCAATCAAAAGGGCTAGTAGCCTCCTATTGTTTGTAACCACTCTCATAAATAGATACTGACAAAATATTTGTATCTTTTTTGTTTTGTCTGAATTACATCGTGTTAAAATCATGAAATCTTATGTCAATGTCTTAATGTCTTAAAATATGTTTTTTTGCCCAGAGTAAGCTACCATCTGTTGATGCCTTAATGGGGAATTCTACCACTGGGATGTCAAAGATATGTGATGCAGATGCTCCTGAAGGTAAGAAGTGATCTAAATCTTTATTTAACTTTTTCACTGCCATCACTGCAAGCTTGCAGGCAGCTAGTTATTGAAGATGATGTTGCTCTGAACAGCCCATAGCTCAAAAAGTCACAATGATGCTAAATCAGTTTTCTGCCACTGCTTGGAGACTTCCAGTCATGAAGCAGCCAAAGGCATGGGCAGGGCTGTCTGAACTGTAGAGCTCAGCCTGAAAGGCATCTTGCTCAGTGAGAAGGCTTCTCACTTTTACTGATTGAGCCACTTGGTTTGACCAGATCACTAGTATTTCTAGAGTGATTTTGATGGTAGCAATGAGCCTGGTATCCAGAGGAAGGCTAAATAAGTCAACTGATTTGAACCATAGGAGGCATTAATGGTCTTGTTTAGCCACGGTGTACTCTGCTCTTTGGACTTTGATATTGTTCATTGTTTAACATATATTGAAATTCTGAGTAATCGCGCTTCTGTAGCAATTCAATTTTAATCATGTTAACTATTATTATAGGCACACATGCAGGAGTTATACACCTTAGTGAATGGTTGAATATATACACAATACATAGTTTACATGTTATAACACTTTTGTGGTGTTAAGGTAAAATTATTTCTGTGTTGGTGTTGAAATGTTAGGTTAGTGTGCAGGACATCATGGGGGGGAAAAACTACTAGTCAAAATGTCAAGAAAGTTGGTTACTGGCATGTCTTTTAAAATAATTTTATTATTTTACATTTATTGAGAATAGGCTGTGTAACCTTGTCTTCACGTGGTGGTGTACAGCCCAAGCTAACTGAGTTTGACCCAGGCTGACAGGCGTCAGTGCCAATATATTTATTCTTCATTATTTTTTAAAATTAAAATACTATTGTAGATTTCCCCTTTTTATGTCTTTCACTGTGGGGTCGCTTGTTGCCCTCATTCAGTGACACAGCCTGCAAGGACCTGGAAGGGATGAAGTCGATATGGAGATTTGCTTGGCCAAGCCATCTGCCTTTTTCATTATTGTCAAGGTGTGAAGTCCTGCAACATAGCAGACAGTAGCTTTGGTGTCAGCAGGAGGATGGACCCTGCTCTGTCAAGCCTGGACGTGTAGTCTCTCAGCCAGCAACTGGGATTATTGGTGTGTGACACACTAAGGATCAACCCCCTGCTGATACCAGCCCAACCAATAACAGCAGAGCTCAGTCAGATGGGTATAGCCCCTCTGGACCTCCAGTATCCACAGGCAATAACAAAACCTGGATTCAAGCAGGAAATATTCTTGATGTAGAACCATCATGTATCCGCTTCCTGTGAAATCACATGATTTTTATGTTGTAGTTTTTTACAACATATCGTCTTCTTGGGGTTTTATGACTTGAGATTTGTGGCATCAGCTTTTTTGTGCCCCTTATAATTAGTGTTTGAATGTATTTAGTTCTTTGGATTTACTACCTGGATTGCTACTTTTACTACCTCTTTGAATATTTACTTCTGGTGAAGATTCAATTATTTCTCAGAGCAGGTTACTGGGTAATGTACAGGGGAGATGGCCAAACTGAAAAATGAAGGTATAGGTTTTAAAATTAAAACATTGAAAAGGAAACAGACAGTGATAGGAGTGGAAAAGATGAAACTGAATAAGTCTCACAGTCCGCATGAACTAATTACTTCTTAAGTAAAACACAGAAGGTCTCTTCTCCTTAGATTGAATAGTTTGTTGCAGCCCTCATAGTTTAGAGAAGCATTTTCTCTGAACAACAAACTGGCAGTTACAGGGAGACTTTCTCTCTGGAACATTTAAAGAAGAATTTGATTTTGAAATCACTTCAGCCCTGTGCTAGGAGGTCATTTTCAGAGGTCAGCATGTACAGGGTTCATATGCACACATTTGTCCTCTGTATTTCTTTCTGTTCTGCTACCTGGTGCATTAAAACAAATAACCCAACAGGTCTTTGGAAGTCATTGACATTGAGGGCTCTAGATTTTCACACACTTTCATGTGTTTAATGCCTGAATATTGTCTGTTTAGATTAAGTGAAATAGAAACAGATTTTGCTTTAAAATTCCAGAGAAGTTCAAACTTGGCAAACAATGCTCAGGAAAACATATGTGAAAGCAGAGTTCTTTACTGAGGACCACACTCCACAGCAGCACTTTGTGTTTAATGACTGGCGCAGGTTCACAAATAACAAGAACTCTCTCATAGTTAGCAGAGTAAACCAAAGAAGAAAGAGTAGTTGTGAGCCTGTCACATCAACAGACCCTTATCAGAAAAGAAACAGTTCTGTATAGTAGCCGTAACGTAGTGTAGATAATTCCTTTGGAAACAGCAGGGGTTCACCATCTAGGAAAAACTTCAGTTAAAGCTGAACTTCACAGGTGTGGTGGATTTATATTCTTCCTTGTGCTGCATTTAAAATATTTTTCTTATTGGTTATAGTGTATTTAGCATCTGAAATAGAATCTAGGCAAATACCATTTGACCCTTGTTCCCATTCCGTGGCTAAAAGAATATGTTCTAGGCTCTTTGCCATTGGAAGCTGGAAGTATTTGAAAAGAGTAGAACAGCCCTTAGGCCATTAGGAAAAAAAACTGAAAAAGAAAGGAAAACAAAATATCATAGTGATGATAATGAACATCATTATTTTCCCATTTGTTACAGCTTTTAAACTGTTTGTTTTAAAATAAAACAATTACCATCACAGGGTGAAACTGTTTATATAGGGGTTCTAAAAATATCCCCTGTCAGAGCTTTATTGTATTAGTCCAATTTCTTTCAAGACAGAGATGATATACAGAAGTTACTGAGTGGGTCATCAGCAAA